ATGTCTAAACGTAGTACAAATCTGGGACCAATCACATGTCTAAACGTAGTGCAAACCTGGGACCAATCACATGTCTAAACGCAGTACAAATCTGGGACCAATAACATGTCTAAACATAGTACAAATCTGGGACCAATCACTTGTCTAAACGTAGACGAATCTGGGACCAATCACATGTCTAAACGTAGAGCAAACCTGGGACCAATCACATGTCTAGACATAGTGCAAATCTGGGACCAATCATATGTCTAAACGTAGGACAAATCTGGGACCAATAACATGGCTAAACATAGTACAAATCTGGGACCAATCATATGTCTGAACGTAGACGAATCTGGGACCAATCACTATCTAAACGTAGAGCAAACCTGGGACCAATCACATGTCTAAACGTAGAGCAAACCTTGGACCAATCACTTGTCTAAACGTAGTACAAATCTGGGACCAATTACATGTCGTTGGCCGTTTTATTGGTCATGTCTAAACGTAGTAAAGATCTGGGACCAGAAGGCCTAGAAGTAGTAGACCTTTGATTAATTATTCAACAAATTATACTTGAATATTTGTCGTAACATCTTTACCTAGGATGAAGTTGTACTGAGCCAGCTGACAATTGCGGACCTTCTTATTGAGCGTGGTACCCTCGTCAACATCAACATCACACATGAAGCCAGCATCATGGATTTGCTTCTTCACCTTATAAACAAGAGCAGAATATATATGAAGTGCTGAGAATTAATTCTCAAATTCAGATAACAGTTGTTTAGCATGCCATCAAATCCCTGGGGTAAGTGAATGTTTAAGATGTTTTCTATTCTCTGGTGACGAACATATATTAAGTCATTTTTTGTTATCATGCGCTTAGGATATCTCAAAAACATTTCTGAGATTTCCCTCTGATCACAAATTATAACTATCTATAATAATCATAGTAACTGATATGGTTATGCAACTAATTTTCAATTATTGTCTACTTTGAAAACACTATGTATCAATGTCAAAGGTTTATGTCGGTATAATGCTGTAAATGAATGTTTGTCTGCGGCTTGACTAATATACCTTGCTTTGTCCTCTAAAATCCTCATACATGCCATATCTAACGATTTGAGTGTGAGACTCACAAAAAATACACATCTGTCCCAAACTTTAATCAGTCCCACAAAATCAACCGATTTTGGTTCATCTAGCTACAGTATAACATAAACCATAACACTATGGTAAGTGCAATATTATTTTCGTTTTTAATGTCATAAATTCCTCACTAATTCAGGGTAAAAATCTCAACTGATCTCACTACTTTGCACCAGAAAGTATTTGCCTGTGAATCCTGCTTTGATACAACCACATGCCTAAAGACAGTAATGACCTCTGTACAAGTCACTCTTTACGTCAAGTACCTACCTCATTGGCGTAGTCATTGTACGTGGCTGCCACTGGAATCACAACAGCTTGGCGTGGAGACAGCCAGAAAGGCCTGGACAGCAATATAGAACAATGTTTAAAAAAATACCTGCATGTTCTTCTACTCGATTTGTCTCGGTGAGAAATATTATTTAGTTACGTCTTGATATAGCTATTGAGCAAGAATTTTCCAGACTGGACAAATATTGTTCAACATTGATGCATAATTGGTATTTCTGGAAATGAAAATATGTGATCCCTAATTTAAAAAAAAAATCTTACATTGAAAGTTTCCTTTTTTCGTTACTAAGATATGTTTCACCATTTTTACTAATACTATGTAAATGACATTAGTTTCATTATTTGCCTACTGTGTTAACTTACCACTTGCCACTATAATTCTCACACAAGATGGCGATCATCCTCTCCACAGAGCCAAGGACAGCTCTGTGGATTATCACTGGCCGCTTCTTTTCTGCAGCGTCCTCACCGCTGTGATATACACAAAATGATTTTCTTAGCTATTTTACATATGACAATCAGCATGTAGGCTAGTCCTATACTACAACAAACCTCGATATTCATGCATGAATTCAGTTACATGTGTTCCTGCATAGGTTTCTTTAAGCAGATCAGCAAAACTTTATATTGAAAAATGGAAATTGTGTTTTTGGCAACTCACGTGACATAAGAAAGGTTGAAGCGGAGAGGTAGTTGAAAGTCCAGCTGTATCGTGGCAGTCTGGTGAGCACGCTTCAGTGCATCCATGATTGTAATATCAATCTAAAAAAAACACATTACAGCTTTACCCAGATAACAAAAAACACAATTGTAAAGACCAGTCAGATAATCTGGGTCCAGAAAGCAGTCGAATTGGTAAGAAACAATGTATTATTCTATCTCAAGATATAGAAATAATTTTTGAACATACCTTTGGTCCATAGAAGGCACCGTCCGCGGGATTCAGCACCCATCCTTCTCCGAATTCATTCAAACATTCCTCAAGTTGCTGATAACAAATTAAATGCATTTATTTAATTTTCATACTTAAAGTGTGAAAGCTTGTACACAAAATTTATACCTATTAAATGTTATTGTGAAATCAGATATATTGGGGGGGCCAATTTCGTGGTGTCCCGAAAGTTATCGGGGTACATGAATTCGTGGATCACCAAATACCCATTCAAACGGAGAATGCTGTTAGTCAAGCTTGTAATTACATCTTAATTTTATAGATTACCGATGATATCAGCAGAATTGAAGAAAAAAAAACCCAGGAAAATTAGTGATTTTACAGTAATAACAAGACTTCTTGTTGGTGAGGAAGATCAATTTCTTGCTACAAACATTATTTATACATTGGTATGTAAGGGAATTCTACTATGAAGTGATTAATACAAATGGGATCCAAACACATTTTCAATTAACTTCTTTCTATTTTACTTTTAAACTTGAAATCTTAAATCTATGTGGATTCTTCCAATATTCACTGATCTATATGTATACTTTTTGGGCTTGTTTAACCCAAATCATCAATCAAAATGTGATCTCTCAGGACATAGTCACATTTTATGAAATATATATTACTTATTGAGTGAACAAGGTTTGTCAAATAAATTTACTTTTTACACAACTTTTATACACAGTATATTAGATAATTTTAAACACATAATTGTAGGTCGAAAGAAACATTCACCTTCTCTGCCTCATTCCAAATGGAAATATCTCCCAAAAATTTCTCAGGACGAGTGGACAGATTGAGTTTGAAGGTAAATCCAAACACACCATACGCATGCCTCAGGAAGTCGAGACAACCAGCAATCTCCTCCTTGATCTAAATACAAAAATAAAATATGGATGACTTTGGGGTGTGAAAATAGACAAGTGTCTGAAATAAAACAAAAGGCCAAAAGGCCTGAATAGCTCTGACACATGCTTTTAGCCACAATTATATTGATTATGACACATGTGTATCAAATGAGGGAAATAAAAACAAACTAGAATCCAACAGAAACTTAGTAATGAATCTCTATAAATATCTAACCTTATTCGTATATTAGGTCTAAAAATATCCTCAGACTGTTGGACATTATTATCCTTATTTCTGTTGTTTCGCCCAGCCCTACTCAGTGCCTTTCTGCCTACTTAGTCCCCTTAAACCAAGGATGTTCTATACCAACTTATATCAAAAGGCTGTCTATAAAATCATACTCTACTTTACCTATATGTGGCCCTGTCCTGCCCCTCGAAGGTCACAGCCTTCATTTATATCAAGTCCCAGCAATACTCCCTATCAAACTTGGTCAAAATCTACTCCATTCCAACTAGTTAAAAAGTTGTCAAATTGGCAGAAGGATAATGCAAATAACCAACTTATGAGACCATAGTGTGTGAGATTCCTATCTCCCACATACACCATAAATCAATGAACTTATTCCTTTGTAAAGAGCAAACCGTTTAGAGGGTATATGGTTCAGACCGCCCAAATACAAAGTATATAGAACCAAGTCTTGACAACAACAAAGTGCTGGAATCTGACCTGGTCTGGTCTACAGAATATGTGGGCGTCATCCTGCTGGAACCTTCGGACACGGGTCAAGCCGCTAAGTGCACCCTTGATCTCGTTTCTGTGTAATACACCAAAGTCGGCCATTCTCACTGGCAGCTCTTTCCAGGAACGTGGACGTACATCAAACATCAAACTGAAACAGACAAGTATAAATAAATTACTTAACCTATAGAGAACTTTTAAATGTTTGAATTACAAGGACATCCATTTCTTCTTTTAATTAATATCTTTAACTCAACCTGAATAAATATGAACCCTTTGATTAGAGCTCCTCGGAAATAAATGTGAAAGTATATACTGGTATAAACAGTAAACTGACAATAACTTGTTGTGTTTATTAATATTTAATCTATGTAGTTTAACTAGACAAAGGTAACATCACATAACTGATATTGTTTTGCAGCTGTTAACTTAAGACAGATGTAAATACAAGTATTCATAAGTTGTCAATTGAAAATGAAGTTTTGAGTGTAATAACTTTCAAATCATTTAAGAATTGAGGAAATACTGTTATCACATTAACAAGAGGCCCAATGGGCTTGCATCATTCACCTTTTATTAATCTCACACTTGTGATCTTAAAAGTGAACTAAAATAAAGCTAAAAGCAAAATATCTAGAACCTGTTAAATGATTTAAACACACACAACCCTGGGTCTTTGGTTATTTAAGGGAACTTGTTCAAAGGTTTTCAAGATAACTGACCCCTGTAACCATGAAAATGGGTGAAGGTCATTCATTTGAACATTTTGGTAGACGTTTCTCCCAACATTTTACTGGTCAATTATCATCACCCTGGAACTATTGGCTATTCAGAAGAAGTTGTTTAGAAATTCCACATCTTTGACCTCTGTGACCTAAAACTCATACTGTTTTGTATGAAAACCAAGAGTCACATCAAAGTGTGTGTCTGAAATATATGTCAGCATATAAAAGGATCTAAACATATTGCTATGATATGTTCTTAAACCAGGTTGTTGTGCATTTTTCATAGGTCTCAAAGCGGTTCACAAATTATTATCCGTGGTTATAGGGCCTTTGCAACCAGCCAATATTTTTCTCAACTTCCTGGGGAGCATACAACCGGAGCTGCCATTTCGGTGCTTACAGCTAGCATTCAACAATGTACTCATTTACAGCTAAGTAGACTGGAACAAGCGGAGTAAAGTATCTTGCTCAAAGATACAACACAGTGCCGTGCCATGACTCGAACCAGCAATCCTTCGATTACGAGCCTGGCATCCTACCACTAGACTACCATGCCTCCAGATGGGTTGATATACAGAAGTCCAAAAAAGTTCTTGTGAGGACTGTGGAGTGTGCCATATGTACACAAAGTTTATCACAGACCTTGTTCATGATATGTGTCACAGTCTGCTAGTTATGCTTGTTTATTGTTCAATGTCCTTGTAATAGCTAAGGTAATATATGTATGAAGATTGACTTGTCAGAAATGAAATGAGAATAAGTTAATGGCACCTATCACCTGATAGTGGCTGCCTGTAATTTCCATTGTAACACATAAATGAACTATAAACATCATTCATAACTAATCAATTGTTATTTCACAAATTTCGTAAATCTGCTACTCTGAAGTCTTACCAGTGGCCAGGACAGTTCATGGGTTTGAGGGCAAACTTTTCCTTGTCAACGTCACACACGAACATGTTGTCCTGTTTAAAACAGCAAACACACAATGTCATAAAAGTATGGAAACCATGTGAGTCTGACCAACTCTATACTGTGTTGGCCTGAACACTATACCGTGTTGGCCTGAACACTATACCGTGTTGGCCTGAACACTATACCATGTTGGCCTGTAGGTGTTTAGATATAATGAATTCTGTAACTTAGCTACCAATCAAAACCTCTGGCATATGATAGATTTCATATTTAAACAGCAAAATTGCTTTACTTCAATTATAAAGTATTTATGTTTATCAGAATATCCACATATAATAGTTCTAATACAAACAAATTAAAAAATGCTTCCATATTGAAATAGCCATCAAACTGTTCATGTTACTCAAGAAAAAGAACAGCCCCTGGGAAATACCATCACTCTTATAAAGTCATAAAAGTTAATATTTACACCACATTGTATTGCAGAGCTATGAATAAATTGCATCAACGTATGATGTAAGTGTGACGGGAATGTAAATATTATGGTATATTTCTGCTATAAACATAACCATGTGAAAACGTAATTTCTACAAATAATGTGGATAACACACTCTGTTGGACATGATATTTTTAACTTACATCATTATGTTGCCAGTCACCGGACTGTTGCCAGAGCTTGCTGTTGTAAATATTAAACCTACATCATAATGTTGCCAGTGACCGGACTGTTGCCAGAGCTTGCTGTTGAAAATGTTGGGAGACACAACTTCTTGGAAACCTCTCTTTTTGTATTCACCCTGAAATTGGAGAAATCAAACGTTCCTGTTATCAGATTAAAATGTTGCTTTTTTTCAATTTCCAAGAAAACAGTAAGGGTTGTTTCGTTATTTATTGTTAAAACCAGATCCACCTACCATTCCTTATATTAAATGCTTAAAATTTTATGGATGGTTTGGACCCTGAAAAAGTGCCCTCATTCCTAATGTACTGTTAATTCTGGAACACCCTTTAAATATGTACTACACATGTATTACAGCCTTACCCATATAGATACCTACTACACATGTATTACAGCCTCACTCTTATATATATCTACTACACATGTATAACAGCCTCACCCTTATATATATCTACTACACATGTATTACAGACCCACCCATATAAATATCTACTACTCATGTATTACAGACTCACCCTTATAAATATCTACTCACATGTATTACAGCCTCACCCTTATAAATATCTACTACACATGTATAACAGCCTCACCCTTATAAATATGTACTACACATGTATTACAGCCTCACCCTTATAAATATCTACTACACATGTATTACAGCCTCCCCCTTATAAATATCTACTACACATGTATAACAGACTCACCCTTATAAATATCTACTCACATGTATTACGGCCTCACCCTTATAAATATCTACTACACATTTATAACAGCCTCAACCTTATAAATAACAACTACACATGTATTACAGCCTCACCCATATATATATCTACTACACATGTATTACAGCCTCACCCATATATATATCTACTACACATGTATTACAGACTCGCCCATATAAATATCTACTACACATGTATAACAGCCTCCCCCTTATAAATATGTACTACACATGTATTACAGCCTCACCCATATATATATCTACTACACATGTATTACAGACTCACTCTTATAAATATCTACTACACATGTATTACAGACTCGCCCATATAAATATCTACTACACATGTAAAACAGCCTCACCCTTATAAATATCTACTGCTCATGTATTACAGACTCACCCATATAAATCCCTACTACACATGTATTACAGCCTCACTCTTATATATATCTACTACACATGTATAACAGCCTAACCCTTATAAATATGTACTACACATGTATAACAGCCTCACCCTTATAAATATGTACTACACATGTATTACAGCCTAACCCTTATAAATATCTATTACACATGTATTACAGCCTCACCCTTATAAATAACCCTTATAAATATCTACCACACATGTGTAACAGCCTCACTCATATAAATATCTACTACACATGTATAACAGCCTAACCCTTATAAATATGTACTACACATGTATTACAGCCTCACCCTTATAAATATCTGCTACACATGTATTACAGACTCACCCATATAAATCCCTACTACACATGTATTACAGCCTCACTCTTATATATATCTACTACACATGTATAACAGCCTCCCCCTTATAAATATGTACTACACATGTATAACAGCCTCACCCATATAAATATCTACTACACCTTTATAACAGCCTCAACCTTATAAATAACAACTACACATGTATTACATACTCACCCATATAAATACCTACTACACATGTATTACAGCATCACCCTTATAAATATCTACTACACATTTATAAAAGCCTCAACCATATAAATATCTACTACACATGTATAACAGACTCACCCTTATAAATATCTACTACACATTTATAAAAGCCTCAACCATATAAATATCTACTACACATGTATAACAGACTCACCCTTATGAAGTCTACAAGAGTGTTGTATATATGAGCTCCTTTGGGGAGGAAGAAACAGCTCCCAGGACTCCACTCGTGGAAGAAAAACAATTCTTGTTCCTGAAAAACAGAACATAATACCATGATCATTTTGAAAAGAACTGATTTCATAATTTCCTTAAATAGTTCTTGTCATATATGTCATAAATTTAATGGAAGCTACATGTAAGATGTAAGATTAAGCTAGATTCAAATTTTAAATTTCTGAATATAAAAGAAGAAAGAGATCAGCTAGATAAAGGGTGAAAAGTTAGAGACCATGGCATAAAATTCCCTTCCATGTAGCATTTTGTATGACCTACCCTCCCAAGTTTACGATGGTCCCGTTTTGCGGCCTCCTCCTGGATGTGTTTCCACTCCTTAAGCTGTTTGGGATCGGGGAAAGAAATACCATACACTCTCTGCAGATTCTCAGCATCAGCCTTACCTTCCCAGTATGTGGAGGAATTCTAGAAAACAAAGGCCATGTTAAAGGCATGACTTAAAAACTTTTTTCCAGCGTCAACAAAAATGTAACAAGTGTGTTGAAGCAAAGCTCACTAACCTGAAGAATATTAGAAAAAAAAAAAATTGTAAATGGTAATTAAATTGTAACCGTCATCAGAACAATGTACATAAAGTCAGCAATTAAACCACACAAGAACAGTCACATCTGAACTGTGGGCGTTGTCCTTTACAAGAATTTTGTTGGTTTTAATTTCCTCTGCAAGAAAACTTATTCTTTTTTTGTCATAATTTAGCTGATATGAGCAGCACTAGCACAGCTATAAGAACTGTTGTAAGACACCATCTTCATTTCTGGAATACACCTTACAAAACAGAAGTTTGCTATTAAAATGACATCGGCCAGGGCAAAATCTATCTTCTTGCTCAGACATTAGTGGTCATGTTTGATCCCGTTATTGTATATATGTATGTATATTGGTAATGTGGCACTATCTATATCTAAAGACACTACACAGGTGTTGTATAATAACTAGTTACCTTGGTCACAGCCATAGCCTTGATTTTGCCCGTGTGTCGGACATGGGGACCTCGACACAAGTCAATCAGGGGACCACACCTATCAACATAACACATCATTACTTTCTGTGTAAAACATGTAATCATAAAAAAATCAATTTATTAGTTTCTTTTCAAAGAAACCGTCGATATTTATATTTCTTCTTCTTTTTATAGTGTGCTATTTGTGCTGATTATCAACAATTTATTACTCCCAAATCTAGTTTATAGTTTAAAATGTAAGTGTCTCTCTATCCAGCAGTGTCTTCTACACTTACTTGTAGACAGTGGTGGTGGGAGTGGTCACTTTCTCGTTTAAGATCCTCTGCTTGAATTTGTTATACTGTAAAGACAAAACATAAATAGCATTACCATTTACATGAATTGAATTGACTCTCCGGGAGAAAACAGACATGCATAATTGTAATTCAACTTAACCTTTATAATCTGAATGAGTCACTTCTATTATGATGGTAACATGTTTAAGTTACATATCAGGAAGACACAATGGTAAAACTATTGATGGTGATGTAAACAACGACAAGTATGAGAAAACTGATATGGATTCTGCCAAGTCGCACATTCTGGGAGGGAGAAATACATAATTTAATGTCTTCTGAAGTTCTTTCCTCTTGATGCCACATATTTCCCCTTCAATATCATGTAAAGTGACAATGAGTAGGACCTTCAATACAAGAACTCTGATAAACTAGTCATCAGTTGTATGCTGATGCAGTGACATGACCACCACAGTGGTGTGTACCTCAAGGGACCTGTAATTAGTGGGGTGACCGACTGGCTAACAGGTCAACAGGTGTTCAGCAAAGAATCTGAGGAGAACACCGAAATAGTACAGTTACAATTGGTAGATTAAACTTAACTTAACTAAAACATCTATTTAATATTATAACTGTGAAGTAGTCCTGGGAAAAAATTCTACTTTGTTAACATGTTGTTGTTTCAAATTTCCTACAATGAAAATCAGTGGATGGAAATCTAGTATAAATCTATATAGCTACCAGATTGGCATCTCTGGAGGTTGGCAGCCCTGTTCCTATACTATAGTTCAGTTAAGTATCGGTCAAAGTGTACTTTAATATAGAGTCAAGCCGTTACCAGATTTCTCACATGATTCTACATTCATTCATGAACTTACAGCAAACATCTTCAGAAGGTTTTCCTTGGTCATAACAAGGCGTTCAAAGGGCTGCTTCTCCTTCACGATGCTCTTCACCATCCCATCCATCACAGGGTAGTCCTCACTGGACACCGTCCTGTAAATACAAAACACACAACTCACCACCAAATCTGCAAACTTTTTCACACACTTAACCATTCATCCGAGATCTGGAATACGATAGATTTCAGGGTTTGTTGGTGTTTATGTCCTATCAACAGTCTTGGGTCATTTTAGGGCGTGTTATATTTTGATGGTGGAGGAAAACCAGAGTACCTGGAGAAAAAGCACCGACATACAGGCAGTACCTGGCGACTATCCCAGGTAAGCATTGAACCTGTGACCTAGTGATCAAGATTAACAAGGGGTTAATGACTGTAGACGGTCAGAGGCCTTAACCACTCGGCCAACGCAGCCCTATGAGGTTTTAGATATTGACACATATATGCACTGATCTGAGAATATTTACCAACGCCAAATGCAGACTAGGTTAAAATATGGTTTAGATGAGGCGTATTAATTACAGACCCACTGTAACTAAGGTCCACAAAAGTGTTGAATCACTCTTAATCAAAAGCCATTAATATTCCTATATACTTTCAAAAGGGACCCCAGATATACTCACAAATCCATTTCAAGCTATGCATAAATATGACTTCATTTGTAAAATACCTGGTTTTCATTCATATCAAAGTTCTATATGACGTTTAACAGTTCTATACAAAGATTGGGGTGTGATTGGAAGCACATTTGTAAAATCTATAACAACCTGTTCTATTGTTAGAACAGCATCTGTAACCTATTTACAGACTCCGACCCAGTGGTGGGTACACTGTAAAGATAATACACCATGCCAATACACCTGATGACTTACTTGTCGCCTGACCACATGTCGTAATAGAAGCCTCCCTCTATAGGGGGACCATAACAAAGATGTCCCCCGTAAAGTCGCTCCATTGCTTCTCCCAATATGTGAGCACTGGAGTGCCGGAAAACATATTCACCTTAAAAACAAGACATGTTTGTAAGAAAACAGACTTTATCACAATTTACAAACATGTATATCATGTACTATTCATCGCAACAGAGAACTAGTAGATTTTGTGTCCGGTGAACATTTTTAATACTTACTGGAACATATATGTTTCGCTAGTAGAATTTATATAGTTATTCCTACAGGCTAGTACTTGAAATACATTTTTTTCAATTGAAGCAATTATGGTCTTATAACCCAGAATGCCAAATTAATCAGTTTGTTTTAAGCACAATTTGTTTAATAATATTTATTTGAAACATTAGACTTCACACAAGGTTGACCTGTGCATGCTTGTTGTAACAAGAGGCTGAAAAGGCCTGTATCGCTTACTTGTTTCTCTTGTAATCATGACTGAACTAGAAAAGTATCTACAATGCTTCTGCTAACTAGAGACCACACGAGTCATCTCAGGTTTCTTGTTTACCCAATTATAAACACTTTGTAAGGACTATAACAAAAACATTTGTATGAAGATTGGCTTGAAACTAATCTGGTTGAATAGTAACCTTGCTTAGCTCTTCTGTTAAAGGGGCTGGTCGGGGAAAAAATGTCATATTTGCTAAAATGGCTTACACATGTTTAAAATACCTTCTTATAAAATAAACAGATACAAATTTTGCTGAAATTCACTCCCAAAGAGAAAAAATTATAATTATATTAAAGAAATCCTAAATCGTCACCTAACAGTCTAAAACTCTCAATTGACTCAGATCAGTGATGTAATTTTACCGCACGCGCGTCATCAACAAGGCCAAATGTAAACATCTCGGAGAAAGAAAAAGATGCACGCAAAAGTCATGACAGGCACGAGGTATCAATACCGTTATATTTAACAACATATAGGTAGGAATACTACACTTCCATCATACATGACCTTTGAAAACAATTATTTACGTATAGTATTGCTGTCTTGTCCGACATGGCACATGACGGCGTGCTATTGTTGTTATCTTCACTGCCTCACTTTCGAAACAACCTCGTGACATATATAAATAGATCTGCGCTAAATTTACGCGGGGCTTCCCCGATATTTCAGTGGTCAAAACTCAACATTGCAAGCACAACTCGGCCATCATATTGCCGTGGTATAACTTTTGGAAGGCCAGAGACCGCATTTAGACCCATTTATTTTGTAATTTTTTCCCCAACCAGCCCCTTTAAGGGGTCAGAAGAACACGCTATTTACTGGATCTGGTACAGAAGACTACTATAAATAATTTCCTCCAGCCCCACAGTTTAATCGTGTTATTACATGTAGCTATTTAGTCACCTTCTGGGTCATCAAACTTGAGGAGCTGTAGTGTGGCATCACACTCGAATGGCCTGTCGAGGTCCCATTGCACATCATTCACCTTGGCAACCACACAGCTGTCGGCCAAGCCTTGACTACAACACAAAATGTCAATCATTATTGAATCTAAAAATAGATGTGGCATAGACAGCCTGTCCAAAGGTACCCTTGGATATCGAAGTATGATAGAATTCCATCACACTAATACAATGTACTGGGACATTTCTGGGTCAAGGACTTTTTCAGTCAAGAAAGCCTTGGTCATGACATAGTTTCTGAAGGTCTTCCCGCAATATAACGGTCAACGATTAATATTATTTAAAAATAAACATATGGGCTTGACAACACGATAATCATTTTCTGACAACTTTGAAATATGTAGGTCTGACTTTTTACCATACTTTTAGCTAGATCCGCTAGTCATAATTTTGGGTCCCAGATCTCAAACTTAAAGATTTTTTTTTATCTTGTCTGATCTCTTCTCATACTACCGATAATATTCTCCACAATTTGAAATTATTGATGACTATTTGCTACAAAGAAATTATTGCTTTTCCTAAATAGTGCAAAACTGTTTTGAGAGAAAACAATTTGTCAAATCAACAACATTCCAACCTCTGATTTAGATAATCTGTTATGTACTGTCATTCTAATTAAGATCGATGAGGCATATCTACCTCTGTTGATCAGGTCAAAGGTGTGCATGTTTATCACTGCAACTGAGGAAGTGGAGATTGAAAAAGTTGGATCATTAAAATGTTTGAATATGCTTCACATACTCTCTAAGCATTGAATTGATACAGATCTATGCAAACAATGTGCAGTACTGATTCCAATATCATAAATGACCTCAGCTGTTGCTAGGAAACTTTGAAATAGGTTAAGCAGAGATTGTATCATTGTGTCCAGTACTGTTCTGTATTATTGTCCACGTGTCAATTGTTAACAAATAAATTGTGAAAAAATGACACTCGATTATAAACTTATATGACAATGCAAAAAATTGATGGCAGATCTAGAGCAACACATACCTGATGCCCTTTGCGACCTCATATGGTGTGGTCTGCCAAGACTGACCATCCACCACTTTTCCATCAGGCAATGTTATCTTGATGGGTGCAGAAGGCATTGCAGCTAATTGTTCATCAGCCTCCTTCTTTAACTGGTCCCACAGAATCTGCCGCTCGGCCAGGAACTCTGGAGGGGGCATCATCTAAGGGGGAAATTAGCAAGGCATTATGTATGGCAAAAAACAAACAGGAATTGAGAGTAACAACCGACAGAAATCGTCTTTGGGTAACAACAAACAATTTATTTAGGGGCCCTAACAATAGGCAAAAACCGTCCTAAGTTAACAACAACAGTCAGGAATCGTCTTAGTATTGGTAACAACATACTGGAATCATCTATTATCTCTCTTAACAAAAGAGAACATGTACACACACTGTCACAGGAATTAATTTAGTGATTTAAACGGACAGGAAACATCTCGTGACTAAAACAACTCATTTACAGAATGGCCCACTTTAAATTTACAATTATATGTAATTATACACAATGATACAAACGTTTAAGATATAAAATCAGTGCTTTAAATAGTGGGAGACCTTGGGCCAAATATGCTTGTATATTTAATATGAGGTGCCATGCTCTTTGCATTGCAGGCATTCACATTCTCCAAATGCAGGACCCTAAATTGCATTAATATATGCCACTTCACAATGTTTTAATCAAAATTCTGCAAATAAATCATGAGTTCAGACTATTATTTATTTATTTTGAACGGGATGCTTGTGTAATGACCCTTGATGACTTAATCAACTAGCAAGAATATTATGCAATACAAAGTCAGATGTGTACCACTTCGAAGAAGTCCTTACAGTTTTGCTTTGAACTCTGTGTACAATGAAAAGCATGATTGATGATAGTCCTATATTTATTGGTCAATGGAATACCAGGTACTATTCAGTATATATATCTTGTTGGAAAATGAAATGAAATGAAAAGAAATCTGCATGCTGGTTTTACCACTTCTCAATGTATGTGCTACACCAATAAATTACCTGTAGTATAAATATAGATACCTATTCCATGCACATGGCTGTACACATAAAGTGTAGCTAAAGTGAAAGTACCCTGGTACATGTACCAAACAAGTAATAAACAAGTGCTGACAAAGCTTTTCCCTAAAGGTTGTATCTAAGCAATCTATTTATTTTGTCAGCAGTACTTCAATCAGTTTGTTAAAAAAATCTAGATTAAAATTGAAAACTTAATGTTTAGTTTCAATTTTTTTTCTTTCAGAAATTGGAACCTTAAACATTTTTTTTATATTTAACATTTTATGACAGCTTATGCACTTAGGTAACATAATAATTAATTAAAAAAAAACCTGTTCATTTTTCTCCCCATGCAATACCTTTTTTATAAGGCAAAAAATAGTTGTTTTCTGGTAACCCTGCTACCTATCCTAATTTTTTGTGTATATAGTCAATACCCTAAATGTTTTGGCAATTTTCAAGGAATCACTGTTGAAGTAAAGTTTACTCTCCAATATAAACTTCATAAAAATAAGTTTAATTTTAATACCTAGCTATACCTACCCTCAGTGATTTGTTTAGTGGTGAATTCAGAGCCTAGTTATAAAGTGTAGCAACTCTTATTGAATATTTTTGGTATTGTCCTTCATTTAATAATTATTACTGAAAAATTCAAATACTTGTTAGTGACTAATTGAAGTGACACACATTAATGCATATACATATATATATCAACTCTGGTATTAAACAAACCTCTTTTAACTTGTCTCCAGATCCAGTTTCAGCAGCAGCCTTTTTACCCTTTTTTCCTCCCTAGTAAAAAAAGCAACAGATTAGTTGTAAACCCTCATCCTGAAAGGACTAAAAGCTAACACTTATAAGATCAGTAAAACTAATTAGCACTAACATTTAAATCTAACAAAATGTAATCATAACATACAAATGTATATAGCTACAATGTACTGACGAGTGATTAGGGTGCCACATTATTAAAAATTCACATAAGTGAATTAGGATTTACAACAAAATAAGATCAATATCTACCTCATCCTCCTCATCAGAGCTACCGGAGCGAAAATGCTCCATTTTTAAACAACTATTGCTAGAAAGCAGCGTTCACTTGCACATTTAAGTATAATTCCGGCCAAAGTCACATGCACGCTAACGGTTTTATATACACAGTATATAATAGAATGAACTGTTCCTATAATAGTCCTTATAATTATAATTCATATATTTAAAACCACGGCAAGAATGAGCTGTCCTTAATAATAATATAAACTTTACTAAGAATCTATGAGCTGACTCCAAAAACAGATTTCATGGAATTCGCGCTGTTCTTTAAATCACGATGATATTGGATCTCTAGTTTTCGGTTTAAATAGGCCTACGATACACTGTGTGCATTCGTGTAACGTGTAGATGATGCAATAGACAGCTGATAGAAAGTAGGTCTAAAATTAGTCCGGTAAATTGACATATATTCAGCCAAGGTATATCTCTAGACTCTCCAAGTCAAACAAATTCCACATTTAACTCAGGTAAGTTATAACAAGAGAGTCAATGTAATGTTAAATAAACATGAATCATATTATAATTTTTGTTTACACTACTATATATGTTACTATATCACTCAAGCGATAACCACAAACCGTGGATGCATATCTGGAGAAAGTATGGCATATCCTCTTGGAAAGACGTGTTATAATAAACTTGGAAAACATGATGGCTGTAAGGATCGAGTACTAAAACTATTGTATCCGTGCCTTTTCGGATTTTTCAGATATGTCCATCTTTTTGAGCTGTTTTTCCACGTTTTCTGCCATGCTGTTCTGTCTTCACGCATGAACGGAAGTAGAAACAGTAAACTAATAAACAAAGTCGAAACATTCCGGATGAAATGGCCTACTTACTACATACTTGCCAATTTTTTGAAATTTCCATGGGGGAGATTATGCGTGCTCAAAATTAAAAGCATCAATAACATGTGTTTATGTACACCATAGGGAAAAAATGACACTTATAAATGGCATCGTTTGGACTGTTCCATCAAATCTTAGAAAGTAAGAACAGTTTAACAAATTCACTGGATAAAAATGCTCACTTTTGGGGTCCGAAATCGGAAGTCTCCCTTCTAAATAGTGACACTAGTTGTAGTATCACTGACCGAACAGTAACACTAGTTGTAGTATCACTGACTGAACAGCGACACTAGTTGTAGTATCACTGACTGAACCAGGGGCGTAACAAACGGGTTTTCAATGTGTAAGCCCAATGATGAAATGTGCTGCCGAAGGCAACACACTGAAGCGCGTAGAGCGAGGAGGGGGAGGGGATGGGAGGCAGGCGCGTAGCTGGGCTTTTTCGATATGCATGCAGAAATTTAAAGTCGCACCAAAGGTGCGTGTGCGAGCGCCGAAGGCGCGAATCCATTCTAGGGGGGTACGGGGGCATGCCCTACCGGATTTTTTTTTAGATCTAGAAGCTCTGTTGTGCCATCTGGTGGCTTTTTAGATACATTTTTGAGTGTTTTAATTTTTAATTTTGGTTGATTCATTCACTTTGTTATTGGAAAGCATCGCAAAAATTCAAATGCATTTCAAATGCGAAAGACAGCTCTCCTTGTTTTTCTCTACGCCAAAAATGTGTCGATTGTTGGAATTCCTCGATAATATCCGTTGCGTCATATCTCTTTCCTGATGAATCTAAATTAACTAGATATTTAAAATGTCGGAGCCAATATAAACAGATTAATTTCAGATTTTTTGCTGTTGTGTCCACCAAACCCTTTTTATATCATCAACATTTCTCAGAACATAAGATGACGGTAGCTCCTATATCGATGTTTAGATATATGTATAGATCTACATATATATCCAGGAGCCCTACTGAAGATAGACCTAGGACTACTCTTAAAAACATACTTTATAAGTTCATGACGGGGAAAAATGAATGTATCTAACTACGTGTATCTATGATGTGAAATTCTCAATAGACCTATATAATGTCACAGATAAGCAAAAGCTAGGGGGTCTTACCCCTTCCCATCGATGTGGGTTGTGGGGGTCTCCCCCAGGAGATTTTTTTGTTTTCTAGAACGCCTGAGACGCGTTCTCCCGTGTTCTGGCGTCAGTTTCAATGGCCATTTTAAAGCAAGAAAATATTATTTTCCCCTATTATTTTACAAATATTTTGCTTTTTAATATTTTGTATCATATTGTCTTTGTCGCCTTTTTATTATTAAAATGATGTGTAAGCCTGGGCTTTTTTGCTACATAGGTTGTTACGCGCCTGTGAACAGCGACACTAGTTGTAGTATCACTGACTGAACAGTGACACTAGTTGTAGTATCACTGACTGAACAGCGACACTAGTTGTAGTATCACTGACTGAACAGCGACACTAGTTGTAGTATCACTGACTGAACAGTGACACTAGTTGTAGTATCACTGACTGAACAGCGACACTAGTTGTAGTATCACTGACTGAACAGCGACACTAGTTGTAGTATCACTGACTGAACAGTGACACTAGTTGTAGTATCACTGACTGAACAGTGACACTAGTTGTAGTATCACTGACTGAACAGCGACACTAGTTGTAGTATCACTGACTGAACAGCGACACTAGTTGTAGTATCACTGACTGAACAGTGACACTAGTTGTAGTATCACTGACTGAACAGTGACACTAGTTGTAGTATCACTGACTGAACAGCGACACTAGTTGTAGTATCACTGACTGAACAGCGACACTAGTTGTAGTATCACTGACTGAACAGTGACACTAGTTGTAGTATCACTGACTGAACAGTGACACTAGTTGTAGTATCACTGACTGAACAGCGACACTAGTTGTAGTATCACTGACTGAACAGCGACACTAGTTGTAGTATCACTGACTGAACAGTGACACTAGTTGTAGTATCACTGACTGAACAGTGACACTAGTTGTACTATCACTGACTGAACAGCGACACTAGTTGTAGTATCACTGACTGAACAGCGACACTAGTTGTAATACCACTGACTGAACAGTGACACTAGTTGTAGTATCACTGACTGAACAGTGAGACTAGTTGTAGTATCACTGACTGAACAGTGACACCAGTTTGAGGTGCTGAATCTGTGTTAAAAAGGCGCAAGTAACATTTTTAAACGAGACATGCGTGATATAAATCATTTTAATGAAAATACCAATCAACACATATCAATGCTGGGACAAGAATGTTCCTTTCAACTGTTGTCTACATAGGCCCACAAGTTTCAAGTTATACTTCAAGTTGACTGAGTTTGATATGCTACACACAATTACAAAAAAAACGGTTTAGAGTGAGAAAGATCTACAAAAAAAAGCAAATAGTACAAGGGCGCATGTACAGAACAAATGCGAGATGAAATAAATATTCGTCCTTTTATGTAACAAACAAACTGACTCAAAGGAAGTTTTACTGCAATAAATTATAACTGCAATAAGTTTGAACATAACATACAAGATATTACACGTGTTTAAGCATTACAGGTGAGTGATAAGGATTCAGAGTCAGGGATGCGCGATATCGATATACTTGGTTCCCGCATTGATGTTTGTTTCATGATCACCACTGGGTAAATATGTATGTCTTAATGTATCACGAAACGAAAGAAACCACACAGAAAGGTGAAATACATTTTCAAACACTATTAGGTTTAAAATATATCTTTAAACGCTGATTGCATCATCAATAGATCACTGAATAATCAATATCTACACTGCTATATACAGGAATTTCGTACAAGGCCATAACGATTTCATCATCCGGGCTATCAAGATAGGTTAACGTGGTGGGCGGTAAGTTAGCCTCGTCCGTCGATACACCTGTAATATAAATAGACGAGGCAAGTATCTGTGATCAGACGACAAAATAAACAAATTTAAAGTATGGGGATGACGGGTTCTTGTTAAAACTAACTTGAATGAAAATGAATGTAAAGAACACGGTTTAATTAAATGTAATATAATCCCAATGTCGGGCCATAGCTATTTCAAAAACAAGGAAAATTGAACGCTGTTGAGTGTTGCTCAATTCCCTTTTAATCAAAGTGTAGGACAATACCATATATATATATATAAGTAGATGTGTATTGGAAAAAGAGATCTATATGCGCCGCTAAAAACATATGATTATAAAATATCAAACACGACAATGCTGGAATAATTATTGATAACCTCGTTATTAAAAATGTAACATGGAGTGTAGGTCTGATCATAGGGACCTGATAATTTGTTGCAGCTATATTTGGACCTAAACTAAGGTGATCAGGGTAATTTTACATGTTTTACGAGTTTAGATATAAACCCATAAAACATGTAAATTTACTATAAACACCTTAGTTCAGGTCCAAATATAGCTGTAACAAATTCTCAGGTCCCTGTGGGCCCGATAATAAGTAACAACAGATACACACGTTGTACAATATACCTCTAACCCAGGATATATTTTCATTAAAATCCATTAGAAATAAAATCAACAATATGTGAAACATTTTAATTACTTATGTAATTGAGAGTGGACATTCTGAATGATATCATCCTCGATATCCAGAGGTTACCCTCACTTACGCTGAGCGTAACCCCTGGATATCGAGGATGGAATGATATAGGTCCTTCATAAAAAGTGGAGTGTCTTTGAATTAGCAAGATTTAGTTTAAACAGTATTTTATTCAATATATGTCTGTANCTTTATAGAGTTTAGTGCTTATTTGACAAAATTTATTCGCGTTTCTAGTATCGTGAGAATGAATGTCAGAATGACGAGCGGGGAGTATGTTAGTTAAATAGGAGGGACACTGACCGTGAAAATCTTATGAAGTTGTGTTATTTTATGTTTTCGTCTTCTTTCAATAAGAGGGTCCCAACCAGTTTCTTAATACAATCTCTCATGACTAGTTAATTTAGTGGCCCCATTTACAATCCTGGCTGCTTCGAGTTGAATATTTTCTAACAGTTGGCTTTGACCTATCGTTATATTGTCCCATATCACGTCCCCATATTCGAACAAAAGTTGAATAAAAGTAAAACAAATAGTTTGAAGCGTTTTTCTGTCAATGGAAAATTTCAGTATTCTTAAAAGGCCTATTTTTTTAAGCTTTGTTAATTATATACTGAACATGATCAGTCCACCCTCCATTAGACGAGATAAAGACACCAAGGTGTTTGTGGCATGTTACCACTGTTAGT